CTCTTTGAAACAAACAGTTAATTCAACTCTGGGCGAGAATGAGTAAATCGATAAATCTCACTGACATTTTGAGCGACTTGAAGCGATATCTGCATATCTTCAAACAGATTAATAATCAGCATTTCTTATCACATCATAGCTGTACGCATTAGATCATATATTTGAATGCTATTTTGCGCCTAATAAATAATAAATTATTATTATATAGCTCAAAAGGGAACTAATACCCTAATGAGACACTCCGATTTTTAACCTCGCCAAGAAGACAAGATTTTCATCTGGTTTTAAACCGCACTGAAGGAGAGTTTCCACAGAGTATATGATTCCCGCCATATTGGCGGCCATCACTGTAGGTCTCGTCATTATAGGCTCTCTACTATACACCATAATCATTCGATGCAAATTTGTCTTACTTTTTATTGGCAGAGAGCCAACCACGTGACCTGAAAGTAACTGCCCCAAATAATGGCCTGCTAATGCCCAATGTCGTCCAACTGTGTGGCTGTAAACAATATTCTGCTCATGCGTAAATGAAACCACACTTTTCTCCTCGTTGTGATTGCCCTCTATTTTCACTGTATAACTAGTAAGGTATTACGTTTATACTCGCATCCATTCACAGCGCTCTAAATTTAATTGATGTACATTACATTTGGACAAGAACTAATAATCACATAGAGTTAGCCAAGCCTAAAAGCGAAGCTTCCGTAAGTCCGTTGTTCAACAACTTAACCCTATAAGTTCCAAAAGTGAACAAAATCAATTCTCTCCTAAAAATGTCAATGCACTGATCACTCTAAGGGTTTAAAGGGTTAAGGGTTAAATAAACTATCTTTAGGTAATCTAGGAGTGTTGATCACAACTTGGTCTCAAAAGACTCATTTTCAAACGCCAAGTGTGGGTGACTGGGATCCGCTGCCGCAGGTGACGTTGAACCTCTTAGCATGTGTCTTAGCCTAACATCAGTCCAGTTATTTTCCCTTTCTATGTTCGTCCCATCTACAGCCTGACGTCTTGGACAACATGTAACCAAAGATTGCCTATAATCAGGGACTGTTAATGCATAGATTATTGGATTGAACAAAGAGTTGGAATAATTTAGCATGATTACGGCAAAATAAACCTCTCTAGGTACAGGGACTTCGAGTACCTCAGTTAAGCAGTCGACAATTACATATGGAAGCCAGCAAAATACAGCGGCGGCAGATACAAAAAGTAAGGTTTTTGTTAGGCGTTGGTTTTGTGAGACTCTGTTGTGTTGTAGAAAAGCGCCGTCTCTCTGGTGAAACTTTCTCCAAATACCAATGTTACAGCCACATAGGACGAAGATAAAGATTGAAAATATTATTGTAGAAACATAAAAACCTGCCTTGTTGGAAATTAAATTTCCAGTGAGGAGGTAGGCTGCGGTAGTAGTAGCAGCGAGTGTCCAGATGATAATTATAACAATAGTGTATGCTCTCGTTGACGTTGTTAGGTGCTTCAGTGGCCAATAGACGGCGAAAAATCTTTCACATGATATAAAGACGGCAGAGATTAACGAGGCCTGCAAGAAAATGAGATCAAAGTGAAGGTAAAAGTAGTGCAGTACAACCCCAACGTCTTCTGTGACGATCCATAGTTGTGGAAAACCAATCCGCAAGTAAACATACAAAGGCAGTGAAACAGCTCCCAACATTACATCAGCGAACGCCATGTTTATGACCAGAAACAAGCTTCTCTTGCGCAGCTTCTTCTCTAGTGCGAAGAGAGCAATTATGAACAAATTCCCCATTAAAATTAAAAAAGCTTCGAATAAAAGAGCGCAACACACTGCTATTGTTTCCGCTCGGGAAGGAAAATCTATCACCATTGAAAGAGAGGTGTTGATAGAGCTCATAGCACTTGATGTATTTTTCATTCTGGTGTTTAACCAAAAAGAAAATGAAGTGTTACACGATTGAGTAGAAATCCGCGATATTATGTTGCGTGAATAAGCTACCCTAACGACGCCTGGAAGAGAATTTTGACGTTACGAGCTCTTGCGCAGACTCAGCCCAAAGTTCAGCAAGCTTTGTGTTCAACACAGCCAGCCCTGGATAGATTTGTAAAGAAATGAATCTTATTTCCAAATCAACGCAAACTACTTTTCTTTTATATTTATGTTAATTAACCTTCTTTGCTTTCATTGCACCTGCAAAATTCACAAGAAATCTTAGTTAAAACTGAGTCGGGGGCCAATTATTGCTAATTTTCGTAAGGACCATAAAAGGAATAAATTAAGGAACTTGTCGTCATTTTGGAATTAGCAAAGGATTGTTATTTTTTCCCTTTTTTTATTCAAGTGATATTTTTGTATACAAGAGAAGCGTCTTAAACTTGGCAAATTTATCGCTTGAAGCATTTATAAACAAAATACTTAAGATTTTTGAGAGGACGATGAAATGTAATGTGACAAATGTATATGAAATAAGTCATATATGAGAACTGCGGAAATGAAATCAAGTGAAGAATGTTCCTTGCAGTTGTGAACGCAATGTATCCCTGAAAAAAAAAAAAGAAAAAACTGAATTTCGTTTAAATCCTAAATTTTTTTAATAATTCTTAAAAAATTAAAAAAATTGATTTAAAAAAATCTAGTTTTTTTTATTTTTTTTTTTTCAGGGATACATTGCGTTCACAACTGCAAGGAACATTCTTCACTTGATTTCATTTCCGCAGTTCTAATATATGACTTATTTCATATACATTTGTCACATTACATTTCATCGTCCTCTCAAAAATCTTAAGTATTTTGTTTATAAATGCTTCAAGCGATAAATTTGCCAAGTTTAA